TTATTTAAAATGTGTGTATTTTAAAAGTTTTTAAAGTCTAAAAATTATAGACTATACGACGGTTATTTAAAAGGAATTGTTGTATAGTCTCTTTTTATGAATCTTGCCTCAATTGTATAGTGATTTTTTTTATAACTACTATATAAAAAGCACTATATATAGCTTTTTTTTAGGAATGAAATATTAAACCATTAAAATCTAAATTAATAGTTCTGAATTCATACTCCATATGAGTGATGAATTTATTTAAATTATTAATTTAAATTTTAATGACTCAGATAATACAGACACACAATACTTGCATTAAATACAGTCATTAAATTTAAATTTTAAAAAACAACCAGTAAAAAATTATAGCGCCAAACTTTAACAGAATGATTAGCATTGTCGTAGGGTCTAATTATAGACAAACGATCGACGACCAGAGACGTTGGGATTTTTTTTTAGGGGTGGGTGGGGGAGTAAGGTTACATCTCCCTTTTCTTGCATTATAATATAATTAATTACGTCTCACTCGTCATGCTTTTCTAAATGTTACCCAAATAAGGGCAGCTAGAACGCACGATCGTCTAAGATGCATTGATTTAAAAAAAAAAAAAAATTCCCCTGCTAGCCCATTTATCATTGGTTATTTGCAGTTTCTTTTAATGTTTAATGTAATTTAATTTGTGTGCTGGACATAATGTGAGAAGCCGACGTTCAGTTTCTTTTGTTGATTTTTTAGTCTTTTGTTTTGATTCTATTTCTTTTATTACTGATAGATTTAGTTTCTCTTATTCAGTATATAGCTCAAAGACTTGTATTTCTGTAAAATATCTTTTTACCCTTTTTAATATATTTGATATTTTATCCAATAAAAGATAATGTGAGAAGCCCGTTTATTTCTCCAATGGCCTCACAACTTCATATTTATATTTTTATAATTTCAAGGAGCCAACTGATATACATACATACATATATATATATATATATATATATATATATATTTTGTGCATGAATGTTCCTGTGTTTATAATTACAAAAGAAACTTAGATAGAATTTATATATCTTTGTGAAAAAAAAAGAATTTATATATCTTTTCTCCAAACTAACATATTAAATATATGATTTTAGTATATAATTTTATTCGATTTTTAAAATCAAGCATCATATAATCGGGTTTTACCTATTATATATTTATTGAAAATTCGATCATAGAAATATAAGAAGATGTACCGTATAACTGTTTCATCCCTACCATAGAATCTGGAGCTACAAAGTTGGAGACGGGCGGGCAGCCATTATTGACCAAATCTGTTGACACAGTGATATGGGGTCAGGATCAATGACTTTTGGATCAACAACTCCGTGTCCATGCCGGAACCAGTAACTTTTCTTGCATAGTATTGATTTAATCTAACTTTTTTTTTTGGCCAAATTATTTAATCTAACTTGAAAGCATTTTAATTTATAAAAGTGTTGTTTAACTGAGTCATGTTTTAACTTTAACACAGAGCGTGGTTGATTTTGCAATAAAAACCATCATAACTCTGGTGGTTGCTAACGTGAAATAAAACATGTCCTTAATGATTTTTTCTAACTCACGTAAATTTGTTTTATGTAAAAAAGAAAAAGAAAAAGAAAAAGCATAAAGAAAGTGTGTTAATGACAAACCGGACATGGACTTTCGCTTTTTTGCTTCCCGGGTGACATTCACGGACCTGAAAATCTCAAGCCGTTGAAAAAGCTAGAGAACGAAGCCCATTACAATACAGTCTAACTCAAAATATTCCCTACGGCATACAAACATGCATGCATCCACGTGACTTGGCCCGTTTGCGGTTTTTAAAAGCCCAACCTTTCGCAACGATTAAAGTGCAGAAGAAGCATTTTCTTTTCTTAAATGAATCCTGTTAAGTGAAGCAGTCACAATTACAGAGTCAATGAAACAGAGACGAGTGAAAGGTGCAAGAAAAGAAAAGCCTGATAAGTAATACTCGGCATTACAGTTCCTCACATGGAAGGAAGGAACAAGAATGCAAACGCAGAGTTAATATTGGAGAAAGGGACGAAAATGTTGAGAAGGACTATTGCTAGTAACACCCATACAACTTAGTGTCCATCTTGAGGCGAAAGTAATCTAAACCCTCACTCGCATCAGTCTCAAAAGTCGCAATCCCTCTGGTGATGAAGTCGTCACCAGTTCCACCAACCACAGAAAGATCTCTGGTCTTCTGGCCAATGAAATCAGCTCCCATAATGTTCATGGTATCCTTGTAGTCGCTAGAGTTGAAGATGAGCGTCTAGGTAAACCAAGGCAAACCAAGCATTGTAAGAATCTTTAGTGTCTCAGAAATAGAAGCCTGAAGCTTTGGCCTCAGGAGGAGAATGGAAGTTCCTGTCACTCGTGGCAGGGTCATCGAATATCACCAACATGCCCACCGGGAATTCCATGACATAGAGAAGAGCTTGTGACACTTAATGTTGGTTGTTAAAAATTTGATCATCTTTTAAATTGTGATTATGAGGATTTAAAATATGCATTTTATATATTCCATGATATAGAGAAGAGCTATCTTATTGTAAAACCTTTCATTAGGTTACATAGTTAAAGAAATTATTATTGGACATATATTTTGTTGTTTTCTATAACTATTAATGCAATATTTTGTCTACCTTAAGCTTTTCTCAAAGATTTTGTTGGATAAAGTTATAAATACTCAAACTTATCTAGTTCATATTTGCGGTGAATACTTGCATAGTGTATGACCAAAAGCTTACCCATGTGAGTTGTATTAATCTTTTATGATAGTTTTGGTTTAATGAGAGTCTAAGTTGTGTCCTTTTAAGGGACATTTAATAGTTTAAGGCCATTTTGCTATTATGCTCAATTTTGTTTTAGAAACAATGAGATGCTTTATATCATTTGTTTTTCTATAGGATTTAATTATTCGTGTTTATATGCATCTTGTATCACTTGGTTGTTCATGAGATTCAATGATATTGAGTTGTTTCTTTATTGAGTTTCAATTTCGGTTTAGAGATATTATAATGCTTTATATCATTTGTTTTTCTCATACAATTCAATGATTTGTGTTAATGCACCTCATGTCACTTACTTCCCTATAAGATTTAGGGACTTTGTGTGGTCTCTTTATTGAGTTGTGGTCAAAAGACGCATTATATATCTAGTTCAGTTAGATATATCTATATCATTTATATCTTCATAAGATTCAATAATTATGTTATGGTATGCTATACATGTCACTTGTTTCCCCATAAGAATTAGTGATCTTATGTTATTATCTTGTTAAACTGTGTTTGGAATAAAATTTTATATTCTGTTCTATTCAGATTATGAAATATTACTTTTCTATTTTATTATCACATGCTCCCCTATAGGATATAGTGATTTGCAAAGTCTCATTTTTTGAATTTTATCGATGGTCCAATGTTGTTTAATTAATTCAATCTAAGTGGGAGATTGTTGAAATATTTATAAAAGATTTATATATTATAAATTTGCATTAATTAGATATTGAGCTCAAAACATATTGGTCTTTATGATTTTGTATGGAATGTGATAGGTAAATCACACAAGTAAGCTCAGTGGCAAAGGTTGACCTACAACCCTATAGCCATTACTTATTTTTTATTTCTTAACTGACCGAGTCAAGGATAATGTGAGATTAATTAATTAATTAATTAATTAATTTATGAAGGCAGTTATTAATATGATCCATATAAGTTAATCAGTCGATAACTAAAATATATGACACTTTTGCACTCTCTCCATTATCTCTGTACTCTCTAGAAACTATGGGAATCTAATAGGTTCTAAGTTTGCCTAAACTTGAGGTAATCGATGTGTTATTTTTGAGTTATATATTTTCTCCATATCAATGGATTCACAGTTATGCTTACTAAATTCTACTCTAATCATTTTATGTTGTTTATTGAGACATTAATTTCTACAATATATTCTTGATTAATGCATCGCCCCCGATGAGAAAAAATGAATATGTTAGAGCTCCAAACAAAGCTTACGATTTTTTGGATCATCTAGTAGAACTATTCATTAGTGACTCCTTCTTGGTTTGGATAATCTAAGCCATGATAAGCTCTAAGGTACACGCTATTTATCTTTTTTATTCAACAGTAGACCCATTTTTTTCTTTTGATGGCAGCTAACAAAATGAGTCATGGCTCGCCTGAGCATGGCTTGGGGAGAGCATTGGAATACAAAACGAAGACACCAAAAAAATGACAAGTTAGTTCAATCTCAAAACCTCTTGTCAAATTATTTAGGTTCCAGTCTTCCAGGCCATTACACAGCTGCTTACTAATTAATACTACTATATACGCACATGCTATTGAACCTGAGAAAGAGATGGAGATGCATGCTGCCGCCAAGGGAAAAATTAAGAACAAAACAAAGAATTAATTACAGAGAAGAATGGGCAGAGAACAAGTTCATTTGAGGACATTTCAAGCAAGTATTGAATTTTATTGTTATTTAAAAAAATCTTCAACATCTGTGATGTTTAACAAAAAAACAAACAAACAAACAAAAAGGCCATCTCGTATTGTTGTAATCATCGTCTAATCACTCTGTTACACTATATATTGCTTAAAAATGTTAGGTCAAAATATGCTAGTTTTTTTTATTCCAAATCAGAGCAAGCTGATTCGATTGATAAAGGTCTAATGAAGTAGATAGTAGTAATTACTAGGTTTAATTTAGGAGGGAAAAACTAAAAACTTCAATTATTAGTTGATTTATTAAATAATTTAGAAAATTATATCCCTTGAAAAAAAAAACAAAAGGAAACCATTTTATGACACGGCTTGTTCTGTTTAAATTTAACCTTTTAACAATCAACATCACATTTGTTATCAATGAAATGAAAGGCCTTTGTTACCCATTGACTAATGCCCAAGATTATTACATTCAGGTCTTCAATGGCTGATCAAACTTCAAAAAACATAAAAGTTGCACAAAAACACAAACACAATAAAAATTACAAGGAAGATTAATTGTAATCTTTAGAAAGGCAAAGCCGTGATGAAAGTTGGACATAGATCTCATCGTTGATTTGCAGTTTTACATTTACATCGCACATAAAGTAAAACAAGCTAGATCTCAAAGACCATATCTCTTGCTGAATTTTTCCAATACAGGCCAACACATAGCAGCTACTATTCCCATATATGGAAAATGAACTTGCACAACACATATTTACAGGTACAAACATCATTAAATTAAACTTTATGGAGAGTAGATAAGAGAGTTACTTAGAATCCTTGCCCACATCTGCATTCTCAAATATAGTTGCTACCCTACTAGAGGCGAACGAGGAGTGTGCACGATTCACAGCTTTCTGGCCTTGGTATTGTTGCACCACCAACACTGATGCAGAGGTTGAGAACTCTAAAGAGGTAAGTATATTACATATTGGTCCCAATTCTGGACACTCGCCTTTACCTTTGTTATTTTTCAAAGCTATTGCCACTTCACCTTCTGGCTTCCTTCCTACTAAGAACAAATTACATCTACTATACTCTCTAGCCATCTCCACAACTTCTTCACAATTCTTTACCTTCCTCTCTTCAAACTTCACTGAATTGTTATTTGATACCATTTGTTTCACTTTCGTCAGGAATTTCTCATCTCCTAATCCTTCTTTCTTACTTAATGTCTCCTCATTTATATCAACACTCACAATCTCTCCTCCTGCTACTACATTTTCTGAGCTTCCTGCTAGGAAACACACAACAGTTAAACTAATACCAGGATGCTCTGCCATTCGTAGACCACAAGCTAAGGCCTCTTCATCATCTGGACCCCCAAAGAACAGCACAGTCATTACAGAAGAAACATTACTTGCTGCAACATGAGTGCTTCCACCAAGTCCACGGTCTACTAAGATCCCCACTGAGCACGGTGCATGTGCTAGAACCCTTCGATTCACTGCCCTAAATTCTGATCGAGTGGTTTCTAAGGATCCATCTACTCTTTGGTGTTTATGAAATGGGATGATTATCATTGCTACTCTTTTACTATCTGCAATTTCACATATGTCCTCGTGAATGTTGGACATAGCAGAGATGGCTGTCATGGGACGAATGGATACTCGGTTAAGTTGCTCGAAAGCCTCAAAAGCAACTACAATTTGGTTTGTGTCAGATCGTCGTGATTTGTTCCAAAAAGGGAGCCCATTCTTTCTAGCCTTGTGAACCATCAGTATAGCTGACGGCCTCTCTGTTAATTCCATGAGGTGTAATGCATATAAGCAAAGCCCTTCTCTTTTTCCAGAGCCGCGTGAAGCTTCAACTAGATTCAGCAGTGATGGTATGTTCCTTCCACTGTGGAAACATATCAAAAGTCGAAGCTCAGAGCTCGGGTCTTCCCTCCCAACTGTCCTATGTTTATAGTCAGCCTTTGCCCTTCTTTTAGCTGGTTTATACACTGACATGACTGTAGGTGTTGTGATAAAGGTTGTGAAGATAGCCATCAACACCATGATAGCAAAAGTTTGATCATTCAATACCTACAAAAATTGATTAGAGACTTTAATGAATATGCAAGCTAAAATCCTTCTATACGATTTATGTTCAAAATAATTCAATTTAATTACCTGTCTATCTCTACCAATATTAAGGACGATGAGCTCCACCAATCCCTTCGTATTCATAAGGAACCCAAGAGCAAGAGCCTCTTGTACAGGTACTCTACAGAGGAGGGAGACAACTATGGTGCCAACTATCTTTCCAAAACAAGCAGTAAATATGACTAAAATGAGAAGACCCCATGATTCTGCTCCTTGAATGGTGGCCACATTAGTCTTTAATCCACTAGAGACAAAGTATAATGGAAGCAAGAGACCAGAAACTAGATCCTCTACTTTTTCAACAAGAGCTGAAGAAAAATGCCCTTCTTTTGGCACAATAACTCCAACCACAAATGCACCAAAGAGGGCATGAATCCCAATAAGATCAGTGAGAAAACCAGCAGCCAATACTATAACTAACGTGGCACAAATGTACAATTCACCGACAGGTTCACCTTCAGGGCATCGTCGAGCCATCCATCCAAAAATTCGAGGGAGGATAAGGATGCAACCTAATATAAAAGCACAACCACACAATAGAACCCAGAGTGTAACCAAAGGAGAACGTCCAGAACCAGAAAGAGCAACAGCGAGAGCGAGCAGAACCCATGCAGCAACATCATTAACAGCAGCCGCTGACATGGCCATTCGACCTACATCAGTGGTTAAGAGCTTGAGCTCAGCCAAAATACGAGCCAGCACGGGAAATGCAGTGATGGAAAGTGCCACTCCCATGAATACCAAGAATGGAGCTTTACTGACTTCTTCTGAAATAGTTGTGCGAAGTACAAATGATGTTCCGATTCCTAATAAGAATGGGAGGCTGATTCCAGCAAGGGCAATGGCAAGCGCTTTCTTTCCTGTTCGGCGAAGGGACTTGGGGTCTAGCTCAAGGCCCACAAGGAACAAAAAGAAAAGGAGACCAAGATTGGCCAAAGTGTCCAACACTGTGTGGCTTCTAGAGGGAAATATTTTATTCAAGTAGGTTTTGTTCCGTCCCAAGACTGATGGGCCTAGCAATATTCCACCCTGAGATAAGAGCAACAATTGCCACCAAAGTTTTCAAAATAATATTATGATCAGCACCCAAAATCACACACATAGAGTCATACACACACACAGAGCAAGTGGAGGGACTTACAACAATCTCTGCGATCACCCGAGGCTGCCTTAAAGGCTTGATGAGAAAAGCAAGAATACGGGTAACAATCACCACGAGGCAGATTTGCAAGATGGCAAGAGGGAGAGCATAATCTAGGGGATTATCTCCTTGGAACACTCCATTAGACGTGGCTTTCATGGGCTTATAAGTACAGTTTCCACTAGCCATTTTGCTCCCAAAAGCCTCACTTGCTAATAATTTCCCTAGCTATAATGACAAAATCATATTGTGAGACTGATCTACAGCACAATTAGTATTTAAAAAAAATACATGTTTAAAACAAAGATTCTTTATTGTTTAATGTACGTAGTATTTTTTTTTAACTGAAATGTACGTAGTATTTAAAAATAAGAAAAGGCACTGACATGGTTGAATATGGGTTTATGCAGACTGGTTGCTTTATTTGGTTAATTAGCTATTTGCATCAAGGTTTTCCAAGGGATTGGAGAAAACCCAGACTTACGTAGCTAGGAAGCTCAATAATTAATATGAACTTTCCTTCTGTTGACATCTATTGTTTGAATCTTCGCGCTGCCTTTTCTTCCTCAGTTTATTCAAATTGATTGTGTGTGTGTGTGCATGCTCCACAAAGATTCCGGGAGAGCAAATATTATATGCTAGAAGAATAAATTCAAACCCTTAATCAGTATATTCGAACCAAATGGGGAGACAGAGTCTCAATAAGATGAGGTGAAGGATTCATCCTGGTAAGTTATTTTCCCTGTTTGGGATGGAATCATCAATATAAAATTTAATATTTCAAAATTATATATATAATAAATATAATAAATCAATCTGCTTATGAAATTGTTTCATCAAAATACATACACGAAACCACAAGTATACTTAAAAAACTTGAATGATGTAAAATTTACAACGTAAGCGATGCGAATATAAAAAGATTTGACGAAGTTCGCCGCAATGACATAACCGACATACAGCTGAAATTATTGTAACATGGTCAGAAGAAAATACAATTTACGGAAAGATTTTATATTTTATAAAAATAATAAAATAAATGAGAATATTAAAAGAAAAAAAGAAATTGACCAAAAATTCACTCATCACAATTTCAAAGAATTTAAGTTCTTTCAGTTACCGGCCAAGAAAATATATAGCAAGTGTGCAATATTACGTGGCATTGAAATCCCTACGCCGCGCTTCTAGCTTTATTTATGGCCTTCCACGAAATCATCGGAATGCCGTTATGGCATCCAAAACCGGATGAAGATGATACATTTCAGATTAAAATGACGCCAACACTCTTTAGAGATATATTATATTATCTCATATAAAATCTATAAAAATGATTACTTTATTTATAAATCATAAATAATAGACTTATTTTGGACTTTCAAGAAAACAAGAGCTCATCAGATCCATACATAATTATCTTTTCAATTTAAATGTAACATATATATATATATATATATATATATTGTTGAGACACTTGTTTTAGTAATCCAGTATAAACATAGGTGCACGTTTTTAAAATTAATAATTTAATATTTTTTTAAAAAATATTGTATCTTGTGGGGCCTCATATTATAAAATCGTTAACTAATCATCTTACTGTCGGTGCTAAAAAATATATATTTTCTACATCTGATTTTTCACAAATTAATATATATTTATTCATTAATGAATCTCTCATATGATTTTGGAATCGATTTTTTACAAATTTTATAGTAGAAAAGGTTCTTTCCATCATTGTTATGATAACCGATATCATTGTTAACTTTGAGAGAGTATAAAACTTTTTGAAATTCAAATATCTTTGAAATTAGACTAAAAGATGTAAAATATTTGAGCCAAATGATACAAAATATTAAAACATATGAACTCTTATTGTAATTCTAAGTCCAGGGGTGCATTTATATGTGGGGCTGCCCATGAGTATAAATAATTAAAAAAGATAAAAAATTTAAGAATTACTTTCTCAGGCCTACAATATCGAATATTTAATGATTTAAAAAAATTAGTTAAAATCTTAACCTGTTAAAAAAATTGCACATTTTTAAATAGAAGAAAACATATATACTTAACTTTATATATTTAAGATACTAAATTTTTTATAAATTATTTATTCTATAACTAACTATTGTTATTAATATTATCAATACATTAAAATTCGCTTGTATCGATTTAATTAAATAAAAATATATTAAATATAAAGGCTAATTATCGTATAGAAAGTTTTAACCTTTCAGTTATGTAAATAGAACCTTAATATGCTGATTAAGAAAAAAATAGTATCCTAATATGAGGATTGAAATTTTAATAAATTATTTTTTAAAGGAAATAATAAATGAAATAAGAGCGTAATTAAAAAAATTATAGAAACTATACAATTTTATATTTTGGATAAGTATGATTTCTAAAAAAAAAATGCCATGATATATTGTTACCTAGGAGGAGAATCTACCTTTAGGATCAGAGGGTATCCCCTTCTCTCTCGATGCCAATTCGACCAGTTGACTTTGGAAGGATGGTCATAATCAACACCAAAATAACTGACAATGGAGTGGTGGTAATTAGCCACGGCAAAAAACCACGCTTCCAAACATCAAACGTAGAAGAAACATTTTTATATCGTCAATTAAATGAAACGTGGTTTGGGATATAGCAAAAGTGATCTTACTTCCCAAACCTGGGCATGGTAATATAGTTTTCGGAGGAATGAAACGAAATCAGTACGTAGAAGAAAGACAAATTAAAGGCTGCAAGCTGTTTGGTTGAGAAAGGAAAGAATTAAAATGAAAGGAATATACCTGTTTGGGAGGGCGACGATGGATCTGCACAGACTGTTTGGAAGCGTGATTATTTGAAATTCGTGGCCGTTCCGGAAGCAAATGATGCGAGGTTTCAGAAAGTCTCCCGAGAGCGGCGAGACGATGAAATTTCAGTGATTGACAAAGTATACTGGAGCTGTTTGCTCTTGCGGTATTTATAGAAAACAAACGTACGGTGCGGTACGATTTTTCAAATGCTAACTATGACATTTAATCCTTATTCTCTCTCTCTCTCTCTCTCTCTCTAACAGAATTATTCTCTCGTTCATCATTTATAAAGCTAAAATCTTTTTAAATTTTGTAAACAATTATATATGATTTTTCTCACTTTTAAATGCTTAAAATTAACCCTCCAACTTTTAATTTGTTTTTTAAAACCCTTTTAATTAATTAACTGTTATTTTATTAATATAATTATTGTCATGTTAAATTAATGCAATACATGTGGCACATGATGTAAAAAAATATTTTTATTATTTTTGAAGACAAATAAAGGAGGAAAAAGATTTTTATTTTTATTCTTAACATACCTGATGATACTCTCATTTAGTTAAACAACATTGTTTTCACTATCCGTAGGTAACATAATTTAAGAGAAAAATTATAATATCATTATTCTTTATTAATTAAAATAACCTATTATATTAAACAAATGGAAAAATATATCTAAAAGTTGTCATTAATAAGAATTTTATTAAAAATTTTATCATTTAATATAAGAAAATTATGATATTTTACAAGTTGTTTTTAACAAAATCGGTACATGCCACTTGTAACATTCCATTTGCAAAACTATAAGTCTTGTTTCTAAAGCCACGCACCATCCATTTAAAATATACCCGTGACATATTATTTGAATAAATACTGAAAATTTTATTCAAAAGAGAAAATAACAACTACAAACAAATAAGAATATGAAAAAAATTAAACAAAGCAGATAACGAAATTTATATAACTCTTATAAATTATATCTTTTAGATATTTTTTTCATTTATTTAATATAAAATATTATTTTAATTGATAAATAATAATACAATTATAATTTATTTTAATTATATTACTTGTGAACAATAAGAACAGTGTTGCTCGACTAAAAAAATGAGAACATTATCACGTGTGTTAAAAGTAAAAATGACAATCTTACCCTCTTAAATTGTGTTAAAAATAATAAAAATATTTTTTTCATGTCATGTACCATGCGTATTGCATTAACATAACATGTCAATAATTATATTAATAAAATAACATTTAATTAATGGTAGGGGCTTTGAAAAAAATTAAAAGTTAGGAAAATTAATTTTAACTATTAAAAGGTGAAGGGAACCGTATACAATTGTTTCAAAATTTAAGAATTTTTTATACATTTGAGCCTATTTATAATTTATATCACCAAAAATTAATGCCACTCGTCTTAAACTAATAATATGATATTTTTTCGCTCATATAACTCCAAACTAATATTAAACCCCAAACACACACACACAACTAGTTTTTAATCTCCGTGCACAGAATGCATTGAATCATATAATTGATACGTGATAAGTTATTACTTCTCACCCTTACATATTAAAAATATAAAAAAATAATTTTTTGTTTCAATTTTTTATTAATGTACTTCTTGAAAATATAAATGACATTTTATTTTTTTTATAACACTTCACTGGTGTAATTTAAAATCAAATCTAGATAATAATGTGCATATTGTAGCATCCTAAAAATATAAACTAATATATTAAAATAAATTAAGCATTAATCAAGATTATTTTGGAGTTAAATTATGTGGACTTTATTTTAAGTCAAATTTTTTTAAATAAATAAAGAAGGTTAAGTGAAATTAAATTAAATTATTAAAGATATTTTTCTAACTTAGTATATTATAAATATCATAATTTTAATAAAAATTTATTTGAACAAAAATATACAAATTTAGCTCAATTCTATCAATTTTAGAAGAGTAGGTAAAAAAATAAAAATAAAATAGATATTGAAATAAAAAGAAAGAAAGACAAGAGGTGGTTTTTTTTTTTCCCCATTTTCACAAGAGGTAGTTTTTTTAAAAAGAAAAAAGAAAAGAAAAGCGGGGGCGGGGGGGGGGGGGGGGGGGAATCAGATTTAAATGGGCCGCGTGCCCATTTATGTTGGCAACACCCTCTTCTCCCACAATTCATTTTTTCGGAGCCCTGGTGCGAAAACGTCGAGCCAGTTGCGAGTCTTGCGACTGCGACTGCGATGAGAGAAGGAGGTTTTAAAGGTTAGGGTATATTATAAGATATTTTTAGTGTGATTTAAATTTTTTAAAGATTAGATAAATTTTTTAAATATTTTTTAAAATTTATTTCTGTACTTCATTTTCAAGTCCTTGACAGTGAAAAAAATTAATATTTCCTGTAATTTCAAATTTCTGATTATTTTAATTGTGAGGAAAGTTTTTGCTGTCTTAAAAGGATGAAATAGAGTTGTTGGGAGTATATTTTTATTGCTAGAATAGTAGGTATGAATTATTTGGGTATTTTATCTGAATTTTTGTTGATTTAAGCAAATTCTAGGTTGAAAATAGGCAATGTGAGGATTATATGAGTGGTTAAAGGGTTTAGTTAAGCTTATTAGGGTCTAATGAAGCTACTAAAACTATTAGATAATACGATTATCTAATAAATTAAAATTTAAAATTTTTGAATAAAAATGAATAGTAAGGAAAGTGGTGAAATTAGTATTGTATTGATATTTTTAAATTGTCTCATGGTAGACTAAACTCTCTTGGGCTCTTGTAATGTTTGGGAGCTTACAATTAGATTAAATTCATGGGTGTTCTTTTTGAGTGACTCAGGGGGTGAATGTAACCAAGAATTTAAATTCCTTCACATGCATGTTTTAAGTATTTGTGGTGTTATAAAAATTATGCCATGTATGTTACATATGTAGATGCAATTTTAGTGTTTTTAGAAAATGTATAAGGTGAGTATGAGTTAACTTGTTGAATAACGTGGGAAAAACAAGTAAGATATATGCTTCATTGTAAATTAGGAGAATGGTTGATAACTATTTGAATATAACTTGTGAAGTATGTATATGTAGATAAAATTGAGCATGTTGATTATAAGTTGTGATTTCTTGACATGTGAAATTGCATTATGGTGCATAATTAAAATTATAACACATTATGGCACAATTGAGAATTGAAATGGGTGGGAGTTCACCTAGTTAGGGGATTGATTATATTATAAGTTCATGTGGCACGGACAATATTTGGATAGCTTTTGGTATTAGATAACTGTGGCACCAACTTTGACGAGAGTCTAATATGGTTCCGGCTTAGTCGATAATACCCACTCTATCAGCAATAATCATGACACCCTGCGGGAATTTGATTAACAAGAGAATCCATGATCTAAGTTATAAAGCGGTAATCTTTAGCCAAGTTACCTTTTTAACATTGGAGAGCTTGAGTTTATCCAGTCACATAGGCTAGTCTTCTTATGGATTGTAGTCCATGGATTCAGTCAAAAGAGATAAAAAGAAAAATTAATTGATCATGCATATTTAAATGTTTTATTTTGATCTAATGTTTCTAGTTATTGCTTTACATGCCTTAATATCTATGCATGTATATGTTAAAAGTTTGGATTCCTTGGTTATTGAGATGTTTATTTCATCTCGTAATTAATATTTTCATGTAACACTTCGATTAGTGGCAAAGAGAAGGATCTAGAGGCTTAGAGCTAAATTACATCTTGCATAGCCTCCTTTATTTTTGTGTAGTAAGATATATATATATATATATATATCTATTTATTGTCAACTTATACTTGAACAATTTAACAATCTTCCTCTCAAGTGTAGGTACACAAACTTCTTATATCAAAGAAGCCTTAAATACCAAGTTTTTTTTTAGGGCTAGCCCACTTTTTAGGCTTCAAATGGTATGGTGCATGCAAGTCCCTGTTATAACTAGAGCCAATTCCATTTTAGACTTCAAACATGTACGTGATAATGGGTTTATGGATGAAACCAGGCTCTAATATCACTTGCTACGAATTACACAAATAATAAGTGAAAATAAACAGGATAAAATAATTAAAAATTATAGAGAAGTTAGAGAAATGATAAAAGATGACTATTATTAATGATTATTGCAAAGTTTGAGTTTATTTTCTCAGGAATTAAAAAAAAATTTTATTTCCAAAAGTAAAAAATTTTAGTTGAGAAAAAAATAGGAAGAATGTTTAAAAAGTTAAAAACAGACAACAAGTTAAAGTTCTATGAAAATAATTTTAATGAGTTTTGTACTAATAATAACATTGCTGGATATAAGACACTTGTAGGGAAGCCCAAGCAAAATAGTGTTAGAGAACATATTAACATAAATCTACTTAAAAGAGCATGGTGTATATTCTCTAATGTTGGGTTATAACATCAATTAGGTTTATAGGCTAAAACTACATTCGTTGCATGTTATTATTTAATCATTCACCATATACATTACTTGGTTTTAGGTTCTAAGAAAATTTTGGTTAGGTATCCCTGTTAATTATTCTACTTTAAAAATTTTAAGGTGTCCTATGTATTTACATGTTAATGACGGTACATTAGCCTTTAAAACTAAGAAATGTATATTTCTTGAATATGCATATGAACATAAAAAATATTAGTTATGATGTTCTAACTTTAATATGAAGAAAAATATGTTATGTAGTATCATCCTTATTATCCCAATTACATAACCAAAACTACCTTAATAAAAATAAGAATTATCCAAATAATAAACATTCTAAAGTAATAATAGTTTAAAGAATTATTGCAGAAACACATGATGGTAATATTGTATTAAGACATTTGGAAATAATTTGAAAACATTGAAAATCCATACACTGAGTCATTTGCTATGGCCAGCATCGAAATTGCCTTGTTGGTTTCGAGATTATCTGCAAAGACAATAATGATGTTTTTATAGGGGTGCTTGCAAGAGAATGGCAACAAATACTCTTTTTTATGGCAAGATGTTTTGCATTAAAGGAAGCATTTTATCTACACTAGAAATTCATTAGGTATCATGTTTGTCTTGAATTAGATTGTAAATGTCTATTTGATTCGCTTAGCAGGAATTCTACTTCCG